ACCCCGGGAACGGGTATAGACACCTATAGGACACTATAGACACGCTGGGAATGGTTATAGGCACCTACAGAACCTTATAGGCTCCTGCCCGCCCTGGAGACCCTCAGCCCTTCTATAGACACCCCCCACCCCTATAGACCCCCATGACCCCTAGAGACACCCACCCCACAACCTCTTCAGAGTCCCACACACCGCCCCAATATTTTTATTACCTGGATCACCAGGGACAAGTAGGGAGGGTCTATAGGAGTGGGTGTCAATGGGGGGGGTTTATAGGGCTTGAGAGTGTCTATAGGGGTGCAAGGGGTGTCTATAGGGGCGCATAGGGGCCTATAGGGTGTGTGGGTTCTATAAGCAGTTGTAAAGGGCATACTTTTGACTTAGATGATCAATGGAGCATAGAGGGGTGAGAAAGTAATTGTATTAAAATGTGAAACGAGCCAGAATATTGTACAATGTAACTTTATGGCACAAGTTAACTGAAAGGTCCATTGTGCTTTTTAGCAAGTCAACTTGATGTCCCCATTATCAGAGCTGAGTTCCTCCTTGGCTTGGCTCCATGCTGCAAGATGGACACAAATGCCCTTGAAACACAATGGGAGAGGTCGTCCATAGGGGTGAGAAAGATGATGATGAGAGGAAGATTGTGTGGACAGGGGTTGCTCGCCCCTTGCCCTACAGCAGGGCATGCGCAGACTGTTGCTATCAGGTGATGAACAGGCGGGGTTTGGCTGCCACTCAGGCATCACCTTATACTGCGTACTGGCCCTATGTGGTGTAATGTAGAGCTGCTAAAATGGGGTGTCAGGACTGCTGGGGTGAGCGATGCTCATCCTTCACTCGAGACTGTTGCTCCGTGGGGACGCCCGCTAAGCATGGGCACCGACCAGCTGCTGTGGATCCTGGCAGCCCTGGCCTGTCTGTGTGGGTAAGCACAGTTTATTGATAGGAAGCAACCGAGAAAGCAAATGTTTTATATCCTTTTTTGTAATCCTTTTAATTCCCTTTTTACTGGTTAATACTGTATTAAAAGCTGTTCACAGTATTGTAGAAATGCCAACTGATAAAGTAGTTTTTTTATACTCTTTTTTAGCTTTTGATTCTCTTTGCTAGTTTTTTATTCTCACTGCAATAAAAGATTTTTTGTAGTGTTTGAATGTCTGTTGTACTTGTCTTTATTCTGGGCATGTATTCAAATGAACTAATACCCAGGGGCACAGCTCTTTGGGACAGGAGACGGGCAGCACCCTTGCCAGGACTCGGGACGGTGGCAGGTCTCCTTGGGCCAGGACTTGCCACAGCTGCTGATTTGGGTGCAGCCCTGGCCAAAGGGCTGCCAGCAGCATTGGTGCCCTTGCCCACACCTTCCTTCTCGGTGTCACCCCCCGTGTTTAGGATGGCCACCAGCTGGAACTTCTCCCAAGGAGGCCGTGCCAGCTTGTGTGGAAGGCCCCGTGCCCTTCCCGCTGCAGCTGCATCGGCGGCCGAGGGGGCTCCTTGTGCTGCCGTGAGCAGGCACAGGAGGGGAGTGTTTGCTCATTTCCTGAGCCGTTCCCACAGTTCAGGTCCAGCCAGATTAGATACTTTAGAGAGCGGATTCCCTCCAAGGTGGGGCAGGTTGGCCTGGCTGGGGGAGGCCCCAGGCCACGTGGCACTGTGTCACAGGGCCCTTTGTGACATGCTGGGCATGGCCAGTGGGATGGAAGGGGGCAGGGTGTCCAAGGGCTCTTTATGACCCGTGGTGACAGAGGTGCTGCTGGTGACACGGCCACAGTGTCAACAGTGGTCCTCGGAGCAGGCGACGGGACAGGACGGGACAGAGCGGAGCTGTGCGGAGCCCCCGCGCAGCAAACTCGTGCCTTGCTGACCTGGAGCGTTTTGGAGGATTTTCTCGCTTCCAGGTGCCCTCGAGGCCTTTTTGTGTGACTTGGAGACCCGGAGCTTTTCCGAGGCGTCTCCAACCCCTTAGGCAGGTGCCCTCAAGGCCCTGCTGCAGGACTTGGAGATCCGGAGCTTCTCCGAGCTGTCTCCAATCCCTGTGGCAGGTGCCCTCGAGGTTTTTCTGCAGGACTTGGAGACCCAGAGTTTCTCCAAGGCGTCTCCAATCCCTGTGGCAGGTGGCCTCAAGGCCATTCTGCAGGACTTAGTGACCTGGAGCTTCTCCGAGGCGTCTCTCTTGCAGGTGCCCTTGACACCAGACTGTGGCATGGCAGGGAGACGCTTCAGCCTGCTCAGGCTGCTCCAGAGGAAGAAGGAGGAGGAAAGCCCTGGGGCTGCCCCAGCACAGCAGCCTGAAGAGGTGCAGTAGGTGCAGCCCCCGCAGGAGGGTGAGTGCTGGAGCTGGGCCACAGGGTTGGTGGCTGCAGCCCCCTTGGCCTCATCCTGTCCCATCCCCTCTGGACATGCCCAGGGAAAGGGAGGGGGCAGAGGGGCCGGGGCTAATCTCCCGGCAGCCCTGCTCCATCCACTGGGCATCCCGGGGCTGACCCTGCTCCTGGAGCCCAGGCCTGGGCTGTGTTCTCCGGCCTCTCCCGCACACCCTCAGCTCTGAGCGCACTCGCTCTTTGCCAGATGCAGGCCAGGAGCGGACAGAAGAGCAGCTCCGTGCCCGTGGCCGCTTCCGCAGGGCAGCACAGGTA